ACCCTGCGCCCGTTAACTTCCCCTGGGATCTCCAACTTCCAAACGTAGCACGAGAAAAACCAACAGATTGTTGTGAAGGTCTTGTCAAATAATGAGGAGTTCACTGGCTGCTAAGACTGAGGGAAATCCGTCTCAGCAAACTCTGTCGGCTGTTGGTCACTCCATCTGGGCTTGGCATTCGGGTTGAGCTTGCCGCGACGAGCAAACACGTGGACGCTAAACAAAAAGTGCCGAGGGAACGAATACTGCTGGTCGATTTTGGCACTATGACATTACATTGTGAGAGTGACTTCATTCCCAGCTTATCAGAGATTCTAGCCACACTATCTTAGTAAATGGGATGCGTGGAGCAACTAGAAATCAACTTTGACGAAGCACCGTCCGCGCAGGCGGACGGTGCTTCGTACTGACACCAAGCGATGGTGGGGCCGCTATCTTTCTGTCTACTTGGCGCTCTAGAGCCCCGCGGGGATAGCTGCAGTCGTATCCGTGGAGACGTCTGTCCGTAAAGCATGTGGAGCGTGGGCCCAGCGCTGCTGGCCGTTGCGGCACCACCGCTGTCCCGGATGGTTCCACCGCGCTCGCGCCAAACATCAGGGGGGGGGGGCTGCCAGTCTACCTGGCGTTCGTGGGACCAAGGGCGAAGGGTTCCCCGCGGTTGTGCTGGATTCTGTGGTAGGCGGTCAGGAGCGCGATATCTGATACTGTCGTGGGATGGGCGTCAGCACACCTGGCGCCGCGGTGATGCTGCCGGTGTCCACGTGTCGGCAGCCGCGTGTGTGGCGCCGACGCACGGGTTGCCGCCCGATCTGCGTCGTGCGGGGCGTGATATGTCCCCCTTAGCTGCCTTTGCCAGTTCCACGGCCTTCACAGGGAGATCAAGAGCACAAGTGCTTGTAAAACTGATATTTAATGGGCGCACGAACAGATACCCAGCCAGGGCAGGGTTGGTTAGCCAGTTTGTTATAAATAAACACCTCAGGTACATACCATACCAGAGAACTGATAAAGGACAGCGCAACGTCTGGCTTTGGTGGACACTGCGCTCTCCAAATACGTGTGCTCGCGTTTCTTTCTGACATTATAAACGAACTGAAGCGAGTGTTGTCTGATGGTGGCTTAGCGTCAGGACAGAGTGAGCTGTAGCCATGGTAAATTACGCTTCTGTTGCTTAGTACAAAGCGGTGTTGAGAAGCTGCTTTTTGGAGTGATCATCATTTTCTCCTTCTAGCACGGTGAGACATTTCAGCGCCCGTTATGATGTTTGTCTTCATATACGTTGTATCCATGCTAATTTTCAACATCTCGTAAATGTGTATAATCGGCGGTGGGGCCGTACCGACGGTGGGGACATACCAACGGTGGGGCTGTACCGACGGTGGGGCCCCGCCACCGGTGGAGCTATACCTACGGTGGCGCTGTACTGACGGTGGGGCTGTACCTACGGTGGGGCTGTACCGACGGTGGGGCTGAGCCGACGTTGGACCCGCACCAACGCGTGCCCTGACCACCGAAGCAGGTCGGGGTCAATCGCCAATCAGCCGCCGTTTCAAAGCTTAGCCCGTCCGAGAGCGTCATACGAGAACCGGACGAGCCTGGCCGCAGGCTGGCTGCGCCAGGTAATAAAAGCTCCCCCGAAGGTCGGCTGGCAGTATGTGGCCGCGGTCTCGCCTGGCGGACTGCTAGGATGCGTCCGTTATACGTGAGTGAGAGAAGGTGTTTAGCAGATTATTGGAAGTTGTCGCGTGGTAGGCAATGTTTTGACTTCCCAGTCGCAGGGGAGACCGATAATTCGGCATTTCTCAACTTGTGTAGTGACTGTTAGGCTGTGATTGTCTAGAACAGGGTGAAGGCGGTGGACCCTGGCTGGCAGATTGCTGCTATAACTTGTGTTTGCAGACCCTTAATACATTAAGAAATGTCACTTACAAAATTAAAACCCCATAACAATGGTCCTTGTTGCTTTCTACCGCGTTTTTCGTGCCAGTCAGGTTGCACCCGATTTTTGAGACACCCACTGTTCAAATGTGTGATGTTCGTGGTGCCCTTGTATCAGTTTCAAATTTTGGTGAGAGAGAGAGAGAGAGAGGGGGTGGGGAGGGAGGGAGAGAGAGGGAGAATATCACTATCAACATGAAAAGCAAGGGCAAAAGATACGAGGACACTAACTTTGACCTGCGTGCACGAGTTGAAACAGGGCGCCCATCGTCAAATTTGCATCAATCAGATAAATACGCAATACGGGCGTAAAGCGCAGGTTAAGTGCAGGCATCACGTAGTTTTTAGATGTGCCAGCTCTCCATCTCCTCCTCCCCCCCCCCCCCTCCCACTCCTCTCCGCTCGTATAGCAAGCTTCCACGGGATTAATGGTGCCGAGCTTGGAAATTCAACCACACTCTGCCATTGGCAACATGGGTACAGCCTCCTGCTGAAGGGGCAAATGGGCCATTTCCAGCACTCTGGGGACCATAACGGGCTTTCGTCATTTGAAGGTTGTGTTTTGGGTTCCATGGGCTCAGCGAGTGGAATTTGTGTCGTGTACTCGTACCTAAGTGCTCAAGTATTGAGGCGTACGGACTTCTGTTTACCAAGGCCGCAGCCGGAGTCGTGGTGAGGGAGGGGAGAGGGGCGATGCCAGGCCTGACGAAGGACCGATGCTGGTAAAAAATCCGGGTCAAAAAACACCGGAGCTATTCTCCCTCATTTTCAGGAGGCCTAATCGTATTTTTTTATCTTCTTTAGCTGAATGGACTGGGCTTTTAACTACTTGAGATGGCCGTAACAAATTTGGTACATAAAACTGGGTCAATTTCTAACATAACATGATTATATTATGGATAGGCCTTAGCAGGTCTGCAGCCTTGACGACTTTTAGGAAGGGTGATCCCAAGAAAGGCGTTTTACGATGCAGCCTTTGCGGTGAGTAGCGCCTTATAAATAAGTTCCTTGCTCATTGCTCTTGTAGCTGTTTTTTCTGGTAGTGCTATTCTGTGTGCTGCGGTGCAAAGTAAAGCTATTCTGTAACACTTAAGTGATATTTTGAGATATTTATACGACAGTTACTCCAGTTAACCTTTAGTTCCGACTACTTATCTGTAGTTATAAAGCTTAGCTGATCGGCAAGCTCTGTTTTAGACCTGTCTGCGTCACTCGCATAAATCCCATCCCGAAAAATGTTGTCCCATAAGTCGGTGACCTGAGCTGACCTCTTCTCTTTGTTTTTCGCAAAGCATGGTTTGGGCGTAGCCTGTTGGCTGCATATTCAATATCATTCAATATTCTATTCAACACTTTGTTCGGCCAAGAAAATAGTAGGAGAGGGAACGTCTACCTACAGTTCAATTCCCAAATTGCCCTTTAGATGTAAACTCTCGTGGCGCCCGTCTCCGTGAAGACTCAATCCATGCTTGATCCCTTATGCTTACCGCGGGAAGCTGCAGTGGGTTTGCGTTACTTTGTTTAGCAAAAGTCCGCAACAACAATGATGTGAAGCTGCATATGCATAGAACTTAGATATTACGTCTCGTATAGCAGGTGTGATGTAGGTGACGTGCGGGAGGGAGGTCAGACCTATATTCTTCAAGATGAAAACATGGTCTCATGCTTTTGCAAGTGTACGTTTTCCCCACGTGTACCGTTCTCCTCACTCCACCTGAGCTCCAGGCATTTATTTTCCCTTGGTTTTCATCATTGAGTAAGCTTCCATACGTTGGCCTTTAGCCCCAGATTTCTTTAGATTATTGATCGCTGTTTTTATTAATTTGCTGCCACCTTGGAAAGGAGGGATGGGGAAATATCATTCCACAGGTTTCGAGAACAAAATCCGCCTTCATTAATCGGTGACCAAGTAGGCAGAGGTCGTAAAGGTGCTTCCCTGGGTTTCAGAAACAATTTTCGAAATCTACTAGCTGTGCTTGAAGCTTTTGCAGCTTGAAAGTGATTTGGTTAGCACATTGTGGAATTCCAATTTTTGGCTCAGGTGACTTAAATGCAAATTAATAGCAAAGATTTGCTTGGCCATTTTGTCTCTTATTTTCGCCCGGTCATTTAGTTGCAATCCACAGCTGAAGGTTTTCACGACTTTGCTCACGGTAGTGACAATTCGAGGGTGCCTTTCTCGGTTTCGATGGGTTTTATGGAATTAATCAATTGGTTTCACTATCACTCAGTCGAAACCTGCCACACCATTCAAGCTCACACTATATCGCCTCAGATGTCATGTGTGGGTGGCGTTCATGCATCATGCATTGAACTCGAGCGATCTGTTGGGCCCCATTTGTGATCAATGACTCGGTACGACTGGCAGACCCTTAAGTAGCGACTTTGACATGACACGTAAATAAGAAGAAGCAAGAATTTTGTCCAATGTGGTGGCATGACCGTGATGTGACAGAACACTTAACCCCTGGCGCCTCGGCGCGACCTTTTTAATGTTCAAGTATAATTCTCGAGTTCACAAACAAGCCTGTTTGTTTGTTGTCAGTTACAAAGCTTTTGAAAAGAATTACGGATGCCAGATAATCTTGAAGGCTTTCGAATATGTGAACATTATTTCAGGCATCTCGCACTGCCTATGACGTCACCAATTACGTGAAAAACACGAACACTACGATTGTTGGGTGACATTGACCAGGCGTGTCGGCTGTCCCTGCTGGTTCTGCGGTCAGATTCTGACATACAATGAGGTCACTTTTACATCCCACTCTCATTTCCGGTGCACGCGGGTGGTGAAATACCGCGGAGTTGCCAGGTTCAGTTACACATTTTCCTTAATCTGAACAGATAACACGATTCCGTTCGTTGTAATCCGTCGCAGAACTTGGTGATCCTCCGTGGCTTTATCCTCGTGTAGCCGGTTGCTGCTGATACGTTGCAGGTGGGCTGCTGGACGCTGGCGTTGCTGACCGCTGGGTCAGCGGCGCAGGTGTGTGTGCCGCTGCTGGGCTGCAAGCGGCTGCTGGAGTCGGAGACGGACGAGAACCCCCTCAGAGCCGTCAGACCGTGCCAGCTCAGCGATGGCTCTGAGGGTGTGCGCTGCCCTCCGGTGCCGCTCCAGTAAGAGGAGTGACCCGGCCTCACAGCGGCTCCAACAGGCACTACCTTCTATTTACCTTCTGGACGGCTGGTGGACGGAGACAATGTGTACTGAAGAGTGCCTTTGCTCCATCGCGTAAAATTTTGCGCCGTAGTCAGCCGGATAATCGACTTGAAAAACCTGCCAAAAAAAAATGAGTGGCGCATCAAACGCACCAGCTTACTCAAACGCAATGTTTTGACGTATTGCTCCTCAAGACCAACAACATTCAGTCCGTTTGTAAGTGCAAACGACGATTCATTCAGTTCTATAACCTGAATGAGCTAGTCGCACCAAAGATGGATTGCAACTGCTGAGACGAGGCGAATTTTGAGATTTTCCAAAATACAGCCACAAAATCATGCCATTTCCTCGTCGGTAGCAGGTCTGACATAATGGGCGGACAGCGCCAAGGACTGGCACAATCTCCGCACCAATGCATGGCCAGTGCGTATTCACACACCTGGTATTGTCGTTTGCAGATCACCAGGGAGTGGAGGATTCGCCGCCAGCTTCAGTGCCGATGCTCCCTCTGAACAACTGAGATTCGAGCCCCTGCGGCAGCGCCTCTCCAGCCCGCAGCAGTTATTCCTCTCCAATCGCGTGAAGGTGCAGGCAGTGGCCGCTCGAGTGTTGCTGCTCATTTTCATCTGCCCAGTGTGTCAACGATTGATGTGGCATTGGCATTGGCATTCCACAGCAGATCAATGGTAGCATGGCACCGTCATATCTCATAGCATGCATTATATATTATATATTATAGATAGATATTTCGTGGTCTAAATTCAATTACGACATTTTTAGGTCGATCAGCCATATGATTTTTAAGACGTAACCCTTACCAGATTCTAAAAATCCGCAATGCATGGATGTTCTTAATCACAACTGAAGTTATCCTTGCCCTCAGTTGACACCTTTGCCAACTCCTCAGTCTCATGTGAAAAGGATTAAATATTAGAGCAACGTACGTAATTGGTCATATGTTTTACACCACGAACTTTGCATGTATGGACTCATTCATATTTCAAAATCTCTCGAATAACACTCGCATGAAGTGTCCATTTCGTCGGGCTGGGCTCACGCCAATTGGAACTAAACGATATAAGAGGTCATTATGTGACGCATTTACCTCTTTTGTCACCCCGGTCCCGGGCTCTTGGGGCAGGCTCTCTGGTGCCTTGAGGAAACGGCACTTTTGGTAAAGTTGATACGTTAATTTCGTAAATTACCAGCATAAAATAGCCTATTTTATTATTTATTAGCGAATAGCCCCGCGGCGACCAAATGAGCATTCGCGCTTACACGGGGATAGCTGCGCGGTGATACCCGGCAACCCATCGTCTTCTGCCTTACACGCACGAGTCACACGCTGACCAGCCTGGGAACATGCGGTCAAGTTGCAGTGACCTTTCCAGAAACACCAATAGCGCATTAATAGGCATCTTATGTTTGTCGTTCATGAAAACCAAATCCGCTCTATGCCATCATGACATACGGTGGTAGAAAGCCTTGTGATTTACGATTTATATTCAGCAAACTTCAACTAGCTGGGCATTGACCTACATTCATGCACGAACGGGAACGCTAACTTGATGGTTATGGACAGAGGTAAATATATTTAGACTATTATTTGTGATCTTAGTATTTGTGATCTCTTCATAAAACACCAGCCTTTCTTGTTCATTTTCTTATCAAAACATGTTCGCTTTTATTCATATTTCCTGCGACAGAGCCGAGCCTCCTTTGTGGGAAATGGTGCACACAATGACATGACGTAAGAACAGTACTCTTGGAGGCTCAAAACTACAGCCTTTTCAGTTAAAGGACAAGATCTGAAGATTTATTTTGACGCCTCCACAAGTCATGGATTGAACTCACGCCGGATGAAGGCAGACACGTTATCAAATGTCATCAGGTTCCCGGGTCATGTTTTGTTCAAAACTAAAATCAACATATGCATCCTAAACTTCAAACCACGGACCTCCAAAAAATATATAATAATTGCATATTCACATTTTTATACAACGTATAGACTCCTAATACGATACCTTTGCCGTCAAATGCAAAGCTTTATACACATTTCAACTAAAATGTCGTCATTCGGACCAAGCTAAAAATTTCCGGAAGGAGCTTAGAGCATGACATAACGCCATGGAAGAGCTCATATCGTAGTCGGGGACACAAGGATATTATTATCACATTTCGGTGGCTGATCTTTGGTGAAATGCCCCTAACATTAGTGTTCCATTTGCCAACACACTGCCACGCTTTATTGACAGCGTTTGAGGGAGAATTGTAAGATAGAATGAACGTGTAGGCTGTAGGATTCGAGGAATACTGTTGTCATTGGAAATTTACGATGCACTCAGCAGCTGCAGCCACATGGCGCTGCCTGACTGATCCTAGCAGAAAGAGTGAGCGTCGCAGGGAATCAAACCCCACACCTCTGGCTTCAAGGTCCAATGAAACCATTGCTTTGCCGACATCTTCGTAACAGTTTGCATAAATTCTGTTGCCGATAGTCCTGTATCTGCCATCACTGTGTCCTACCGTTGCCATTGATCGCTTGGACACTGCACAGGCACGTGGCAGAGCTATTCTCTTGATGTCGCCCAGGAGTGTGTACATGAACAGGCGGTGAGCTGACACCTGCCTAATTCTCGTTACCAAATGTTTTCAAGAACGGTGCTTAATTGTTGACCGACGCTTCCAGGAATCGGAAGTGGAGCGGAAGGCGCAGGCCTTTCTGGCGGACGCTGAGCGCAACACGAAGAGGCTAGAGGAGTTAAGTCAGAGCCTGTCGAATGTGACGGTGCCCGAGGACCTGCAGCGGCGCTTCGGACAACTGCAATCCCCAGAGGACATCAGCGACCCCGCTGGCACCTTACAGTCGCTTCAGGTGCTTAACGAGCTACGGAACATAGGCGCGATTAGCTCGCGGCCGCTGATCGCCAATCTGCCGCCGTTCTTGGAAACCACCGCTCATGCAGGAGCGTTTGGCTTCCCGAGCGACCCGCTCTTCCAAGACGACAAATTGCCGGGATGCAAACCACCCAAGCAGCCGGATTGCAACGCCTCCGAGCGGTACCGGCGTCACAACGGCGCGTGCAACAACCTGAATGAGCCGCGGTGGGGCCGGGCGAACACAGGCTTTACTCGCCTCTTCCCGGCCAGCTACGACAACGGCATCTCTGAACCGCGCACCATCGGCGTGGGTGGAACCCTCCCGTCGCCGAGGCTCGTCAGCCAGCGCGTGCTCGACACCTCGCCGAGCGCCGACCGTACCCGTTCGCTGTCCGTCATGGCGTATGGGCAGTTTATCGCGCACGACACCATCTCAACACCAACACAGCAACTCGGGACGCCAGGTGCACGCGTCTCGTGCTGTGGCCCGAATAACTCGTTCCCTGAGGACGCTCGTCCGCCCGGTTGCATTCCAATTCGAGTGCCTGACGACGACCCACATTTTGCCAAGTTCAATCGCACCTGCATCCACCAGGTACGCTCGATGGTAGTACTCCCGGAGGACTGCATCTTGGCACCGAACAGCCAGCGCAATGGGCTTACACATTTCCTGGACGCGTCTAACGTGTACGGCAGCAGCAAAATGCAGGCGGATTTGTTGCGAGCCTTCTCCGGAGGTCTCTTAAAAATGACGGCAGAGAACCTACCTCCACGCGACAGCCGTCAGTTCATCGCCGGCGAGGGTAGAAGTAGCGAGAACCCTGGCCTGACGTTCCTACACATAGTTTGGATGCGCGAGCATAATCGAGTGGCAAGAGCACTGGCGAAGAGTCACCCCAACTGGGACGACGAGAAACTGTACCAGGAAGCGCGCAGGATCGTCATCGGCGAGTACCAGCATATCGTGTACAATGAGTACGTGCCGGCCGTGGTCGGATACCGGTACGCCCGCCAGCACGGGCTTGACCCAGAACGTGGCTACTCGTTCAATTACCAGGAGCAGCTGGACCCCAGGATTACCTCTGAGTTCTCCACGGCCGCCTTCCGGTTCGGACATTCTCAGGTCAGTGAGCGCTTTATAACCCTGTTTCTTGATTCTCGCTGATTCCTTGGCAGGTTATGGGCCTCGTTCCTCGTTCCTAGTTGCAATCGGTTCGTTCAAGAACATTGAACGTCGATTAATGGTTGTTACTGATTTTTCATACGTACAAGATCCTGATTCTTGGTTCTTAGCAGCCACGAAGTCATACAAGTTGCACAGGATAGCCCAGATACGCTTGGTTTCACAACAATTAAAAGTCACACACCACAAGCTAGTAGAGCAACCAGCTAGTCGTGATACCACCACCACAACTAACAAAGCTTTCCGTTAGTTTGGATCATTGCTTAGAGATAAGGCAGAAGTATTAGCCTTATTCCTCAGGGAGATACCAGGAGGATGAAGATATAGTTGTGTTGATATTTCGGCAATATGCCTTTATCAAAACAGTGGCAAAAATGAATTCTAAATTGCCTGCCGGTGATCCTACTCGATTTTTCAGGCTTTTTTAAGGCAAGCCACAGTTTTTACTGGACACCAGCATTCAGACGATTAAACAAAGAGCGATTGCCAGCCATGACCACGGTACAGTGCCCATCGAATAATTAAAATGCGCGAACATACCTCTACACGCAAACAAATTCAAGCAAATAAGCATCACGTATCACGCTTCCTTCAAGCATGCAAGCGAGTTGAAGTAAAAAAGCATCACACATCGCCCATCAATTATGCATGCAAACGATTTCAGTTGAAAGCAATTGAAGGAAGATTTCAAAAGGCATCGCACACCACGCGTCAGGTATCACTTACACGTGTAAATGATTTGAAGCTAGCACACATCACACATAAATGCACATACCACGTTTTAATAATAGACCAAAGTGAGCCCTGTATGTTAAGATTTGGTCGCCGAATTCTTATAAAAGCAAATCCACTTATTTTCCTGTCTGGGTGGTGCTGTGCTCTGTAGATGATCTTGCGCTCTAAAAGGGTCCGTACTTTCCTCGATTTCAACCTGAACGTGTTTTGCCAAAAAAACGTCATTAAAAGGGGTATTCTCTGTTGTTTTTAGTGTCTCGCAGATGCTCATATAGAATAAAAACGAATAGGGCGCATGGATTCCCCGGCAGAGACTATCTCCCTCCCATGTTTTTCACACAGTTTACACTTGATTTCGTAAAACACTTTTTTGCGTGCAAACACTTGAAACTCTGCGTAAATGACATCTGTTGCCACCCGGGCACTTAGGCTTTGAGATGGAAGATTTCACCAGATACTTTTTATGGTTATTGTCGTTCTCCCAAGCTACGCGTACTGGCAGTTTTGATTTTTTAACAATGTGCTTTATTTTCCAAAGCAAATGGCCATTTATGTAAGGTAACGTTAAGAATCGGTCTTCCAATAGGACGTGTTCCCGCCTCCTATCACCCATCCCCTCCACGCGTTTAAGACTTTCACTGCTTCCAGCATTCTACCTTAAAGTCGCGGAGAGTATGCGCTGTCCAACAGCAAAACCCATATTTTGTTTACGCTTTTTCTTTTCTTTAAAGGAAAGATGATTTGAGATTTTTAAGGAAAGATAACTTAAGGTTTTGCATGGACTCAAGCTTCGGTACTGAAAAAATATAACATAATACGCAATAGCACAATAACGACAATGACTGTCCCGTAGGAGGCTCTAGATGGCCGCCATCAGACACTATTAGTGGCTAGCCAGGGTTGGGCCCAGGAGGAGTCGGAATCGGGCCATAGGAGCGCCTTATTCAAGGGGCCCTGTTGTTTTATTCCAGGGGAACTTTATAGGCTCAGCACCCTATTTTGATGCCTCGGGGGCCAGTTTTGCCCTAGAAGCCCTGCTGGTGTCTTAAACTGAGTCATCCCAAAAGGAGACCCGATGAAAAAACCGGAGGCGCCACGGGCTAAGAGGGATTTCTGCGCATGTAAGCCGATGTTTCTACCTTCAAATACCTTTGAAAAAGTGGGAGAAACCCCAGCGGATAATTGTATATAGGAAATCGGATAGTAGGTCCCAAATTTGTTTGGTAGGCCCCTAGGTCTCCTTGACACCTTCGGGAGACAAATGTGGCGCCATAGAATTTATTCTATATGGGGTTGACGCATGAGCGACATTCCGTTGGAATCGGAACTCGTCGCTGTATTCGAATGCCAATATCACGCTCGCTTCATAATAAGTATTATGAGAATAAGTATAATAAGCATTATGAGTATTATTATTGTATCGCAGGAAACGGTGTCCGTGGGGCGTACAAATATCCGGCCGACACCTCAGGGGAATCAGTGGGAGACGTTTCATCATTCCTTAAAAACACCCGTACAAATTCATGCGTCCTCCGCGTGCACCTTAAAAGGTGTTTGTGGAGTGCACAGATTCGTTTTTATTGGAATCGGTAGGAAGTCTGACACTGAAGGAATGCCCCCAAAACACCCTCGTCCACTCGCCTTACACTTCTAGAAGCGTTTGAGAGGAGAGCACATTTTTGACCAACACCTTTAGTGGAATCGTTGGGGTATCTGACCCCGTCCATATACCTGAAAAACACCCCACGGGAATTTTTATTTCTTTGAGTGCAATTCTCCTAGATCGGCAGGGCTGTTTAAGGCTATTACATCATAAAGCTAACGATTAGGTGTCTTCTTCTAGTCAGTCAGCTTCTCACGGCATCAACACAACTAACAGCAGCCCACAGCCTTGCACTGAATCCAACGTGTCACCGCGTGGTGAGCGTTCGAGCCCATCCGTCTCAAATGGCACGACGCTTTAAAACGCTGCGCAGCAAACTAATCATGCTCGTCGTAAAACGCTGCGGCCAGCCACGATATTTACGACTAGTCATAAGCTTAGTTATTTGGTATTTTGAAATTGTTTAGTATGTGAAGTGGAGCTTGCCTGAAAAATCTGTGAATGACGCTGGCCTGATGGGCAATGGAAAATCACCACGTCACCGCTGATCTGTGACGTCAGCACTGAATAGTACAGTTTTTAGTATATTTCTGGCACCCGCTAAAAACTATCCCGATTAAAGGTACTCTGTTTGGCAGCATCTTATGACTCAACTTGCTCATACAGCGAAATGTGAACGTTTCGATATATGATCTACACATGCTCACGCTGCAAGTCTTAACGAGGGCAGACCACTACTAATCTTAAGATGTCGTTAAGCTGGGATAATAAGTTGTACTATGGTCTAGTGTATTGAAATTTTTTTGCATTTTTGCATTTTTGTCACCAGTTGATTCGCAAAAGTTTCAGTTTTTATTACCGATCATGTCCGATAAATCAGAACCTTTTTTATCCCTGATCCTCGCCACCAAACTGGGAACACTTGTATTGCCCAGTCCGGTCCGATGTCAGCAAAATGTCAGAAGGTCTATAGAATCGGCTATGCTGTGGTCATGTCCTTTTTGGCTGTCATGCTTGCAAGTTCCTATCAAATGGTACCTTTCTTGGTGATATCAAATCAAGATGCGTGCATGTCCACATTTTAGACAGAGACCTGAGCTGCGTCAGAAATCAAGGCCATTTAACACGTGATGTGGACGAAATATAGATCAGATATCAGATACTGGCAAAACCGGGGGGAAGTCGCTAGTGTGGCTTTATCAGCCGATTATTAGTACTCCATTCACTGTCCGTGAAGCTAAGGCACCAGGGTAAATGCAAAACAATGCTAAGCTGATATCATCATCCTACTTGGTGATGTATTTATGAATTTTGTTGGTGAGTTTTTCATAAATAAAATTAGCTATAGACTAGATGTTTTCAAAATAGTTCAAAATGGTTTGTTACATGGATTTCCTAGTTCCGGAACCAGGGACCAGTCCACCAAGAATGGTCCTTGGGAACCAGGCACATGTTTACCGGCATGCAACGTTGCATAGATCTTAGCGGCCCGATTTTGTCTCCCGCTGCCGCCACGACACATCGCCAAGAGATGCACGACGTACCACTGATGAGGAATACCGGGTCGACAGGTTCAGGACGCATTCATACTGGAGAGCGAGACTGGCCGCCTGCTCAAGACGCTGAACATGGCGGATGCGTTCTTCAAAGACAACTTGCTGTTGGAGCCTGGGGCCGTGGCGCAGATGGCACGCAGCCTGACGCGGCAGAAGCCGCGATCTGTCGACCGGACAGTGTCGCCCGCCGTGCACGAGCATCTGTTCCAGACGCCTCGGGACGCGGGCATAGACCTGCTGGCGCTTAACATCAACCGCGGCCGGGACCACGGCCTGCCCACGTACATCAACGTGCTGGAGAACTGCCTAGAGCGCAAGATTGGGGACGGATGGGAGGGCCTGAAAAAGTTCTTCGAGCCGGCGGTGCTGGAGCGGCTGCAGTCGGTGTACAGCAGCCCGTACGACATAGACCTCTACATCGGTGGTCTGACGGAGAAGTCGAAGCTGGGCGCCGTGGTGGGAGAGACGTTTCAGTGCATCATCGGCCAGCAGTTCTTCACCCTGAGATACGCCGATCGGTGAGATTTAGTTTTTGAGTCGAACGATGGGTATGAATGCCGCTCGTTGATTCGTTGTGCAAGATTGTGAACAATTGTCTATATTTTCGGTTCAGGCGAATGGAATGGTGTGAACATGATATTCCAATGATAATTAATGATTTTGTGGCATTTTCAATGGTGTTGTACTCGTGATTTGCCTTTGTTATCAAGTGCCCGATATATGAATTTGGAATCGACGTGCAGCTTGCCCCCACCCAATAGTAAAAGTTCTAAGGTGACAGGCTATGGTTAAGTCTGGTGATCAGCGATTGATGCAAGCGTTTTAAGGGTCAAACTTTTTTAGACACTTTCGGAAACATTGCTGATGTGAGCTAAACGTTTGTCCGTAGATTCTTCTTCGACCACGCAGAGCAGCCACACAGCTTCACGGAAGAGCAGGTGAAACAGATCCAGAGAGCCAGTTGGGCGCGCATTCTCTGCGACAATGTGGAAGATCTGGAACGAGTGCAGCCTCTGGCTTTAAGGCAGCCCTCCACCTTCGCCAACGGTCTCGCAAGCTGCAACTCATTTGCTATACCTTCGGTGAACCTCAGTATCTTTTAAATGAGCTTCGTCACAATGGAAGTCGTCCGCTTGCAATGGAAGCGCGCAATGTTAATGCCTTTGCAGGCGGTATTCCCATTGTCCAACCAGGTAATTAGGTAACTATGGCCCGAGGCGCGCAGCCAGGGTCTTGGCAAAGAATGCGGCACAGGGTTGATCAAGAGTATCTGATAGTAATACGCTCCCCCGCCAAAAAGTCGTCGGATATATGGCCCATTTGTTAATGATGATATATTTTCTTTGATTTCTGGATCAATATATACATATATGTGTATCTATTATATATCCTTGTCTACTTTAACTGGAACAGGAGCCAGACGCTACGGTGAGATCAATTCTACCTGAAGTTTATAGCCAACAGAGAAAATCATGCCTTTAACTACTGACAGAAATCGCCATAAATCGTGACATAAATCGCCGGCGCTCTTCATTTTACAATGGTCCAGCGGACTTTTTTAAACCGAAGGAACTCAGAACCTTTGTCGGAATCTCTATCTGGGTTGTACAGGTACATCAAGGACCCCGCAAACGTACATTTAAGAGCAAAATCGGTCAGCAATTTATATTACCATGGCCAAGCCGTGTTTATCTGTAAATGTTGAAGATTCGGTCAGAATCGATTACTGATACAACTTACGTGACGTAGTTTTGAGCATGCGCGCTCGCATATCTTGGCAGCAAAAACTTCGACGCCAGACATTGCAGTCTCCATAGGCTGCACAGCGTCGTCCTTGCGCTCAGCACTAAGCTGTGGCTAACAGGAGGACGCATTTCAATGAAATATCTTCGAGCGCTTTAGGACAGAAGATCGTACATTTAGAGGTGTTCCGGGGGTACATCTCATTTGTGCGAATTTTAGATAAATGATAACGGATTGGTCGTTACCGTACCGCGAAATGATGCTGCTATTATAGTTATTGCGAAGCAATTTTGAAAGAATCCAGAAACATTATATTACGGTAATCGTTGTTGTGGCCTGACAGCAAATTGAATGGCCTCTCCACTTCTTTTTCGCCTCTGATTGATATCCGCAATAGTAATGGGTTTTAGTCAGGTGCGAACCTCAAAGGTCAGGAAAATAGACATGTGTTCGGCAACCACGTTGCGCAGCCAGTAGAAATGTCGTTTTACAATACAAACTACCTCCTCATGGTTTGCCATAGGCAGCAGGCACCTTTCAGTGGCGCAGTTAGGGGCGGTCCAGGGGGTCCTGGGCTCCCTTGTTTTTTGAGGACCACAGGAGGTATCCTTGAGTGCCCCACCCAGGGCTTATCCAAGGCGTTCCAGAGCCCCCGAGACGTTTGAAGACTCTCACGTATAAGTGAAGATGGCATAAGAAGTTTAAAATTAAAGTTTTCTGGAAATTGTTGTTCCTTGACGTAGATACATGAGCACGGAAAGAGTTGAAATATTTTCCACGCATCGCATTACTATATGGAGATAGTATTTAACTATCGTGAGCAATTATAAAATATCCGTGTACATCAATCCTCGTGCCTTCGGGCAGAAAAGTATCCCAAAAGTGTGCTTCCAAGAGTTCATGAAGCATCATGGATGTTGCCTTGTTCCTCCCATGTAGGGTAAATTGACAGACCTCTGGTCGAAGATTAAAAAGACATTTTTTTTTATTTCCTGCCTTTTTATGTCTGGAAGTAAGGTTCAGATCTCTTAGCGGCCCGCCTGGTTACTCAAGTATCAGTTTTGGACAGTTATACGCCTTGGCCGTCTTGAAACGCGCTCAGTAGCATGCTTTAAGAGGACTTCGTGTGCCATGCCACCCTGGATGTTTCGTAGGCCCCTGCTTGACGCCGTAGGACCCACTTAGCCGTTTGGGACTCATGAGATCGAAGTCTCTATACTTTTGGGACGCTGCAGGCTGTTAGTAGAGTCCGGGGATACATCCCCAGCATGTCGTGCAATCGTGCCCAAATTTTCAGTTGCCTATCGGGCATCCGTTGTGCGTCTTTGACATTAAAACTTGTGTGAGGTAGAGCTGAGATTTGTTTTGTTTGTTGGCATGATTGCTCGTCAAAACACAGAACTTATCCTTACGTATCATACATATATCAAAACACGCACACACACACTCGCACATGCACACGTACACGCACGCACGCACACACGCACGCACGCACGCACGCACGCACGCACGCATGCACGCACGCACGCACACACACACACACACACACACACACACACACACACACACACACACACACACACACACACACACACACACACACACACACACACACACATATATATATATATATATATATATATATATATATATATATATATATATATGTGTATGTACATATGAATATATTTTCTGTGTACATATGTATATATATATATATATATATGTGTATGTACATATGAATATATTTTCTGTGTACATATGTATATATATATATCCAGCCTCACTGTAACACCCACATGGAGTTCGCCAACGTTAGAAATCAACCCCTGATGCCAGCGACCGCGAGAGATCAGCGACCAGTAGTTGCCGTGAAGAAAACAAAACAGACCGATTGATGGCTCGAAACTGTGGAAAGTACACACTGCGGTATGGCTCGTGCACATTAGCACTCCAATAATTGGTTAACACCGGTGCTTTAATATCCGCTGGAAGCACATCTTTTGTTGAGCTTGTTCAGTTGAACTGGGCAGTGGACAGCTAGCTCTGACCTCAGTCGGCGACATCCTCGTCAGCGTGTCACGATTCGTGTAGGTAACGCTACGACCGCAGCCAGCGCAGATAAGAAGGGGCCATGGTGCACAGCTATGTTCGGACAACACGCTTATCAGCTCATCGGGTGACACCGTTTAGGTAACCACAACCACACATGGTTGGAATGCACTCACCAGACTGCAGCGGACGCAAGGCCCCCGGAGCGCCCGGAAGACATACCACCCGCCGCGATCATGTTGGGTCTTTCCGAGCCGCTGACGCGTCTTATCTGACGCTCACTTCATTGGCCACTTTAAGCACATCGCCTCGCCGCTTGGCCGCAGCACGCTACACAGACACAGACACAGACACAGACACAGACACAGACACACACAGACACACACACACACACACACACACACACACAAACACACACACAAACACACACACACACACACACACACACACACACACACACACACACACACACACACACACACACACACACACACACACACACACACACACACACACACACGACATAGAATAGGTAGGCACACGTCACTGGCAATAACACTTAAGCCTCGCGTGATCCGTGCCTGGTAAGCAAAAATGTGTTCAACAACTCAGAGGCGCGTAAGCATCGGCTTCTGAAGTACATGACAAATATAAAACCTGGATGCAGACACAGCTTGACAGCGGCGATGGATGAAAAAGCTCTCATATTGGCAGGTGGCGCCACAGGCATCGCCACGGTCCTTGTCGTAAAATATCGCTGGCAGCGCCAGGCGATTGGTAGCCGACATTGGCTCCGTCCCACGCTCACTGGGCGCGCCGCTGACCACGCTGGCGGAACTGCAAGGTTCCGGGACGAACATGTGTACAGCAAATATGTCGGGCTTCGATACAAATGCGCTGTATCACATGCACGCGTCCAACAGAGAAATGTTCTAGGTCAGCGCTATAGCGTCCTCGACCCCATCCGCAAGCTCCAGCTTATGTTCCGCTACCCTACTGGTGCAGGCTGAAACGACAAGCTGCCGCAAGCCTCGTCTGAAGGCGAACCGATATAGACATGCTAGGTCAAAGACTGGCAGCCGCTGCATCGCCCAGAAGTCAAGAAACTGTCTGGCGTGCTGCCTACCACGAGCCAGAAACAATTTATTGTTGCCCAGTACCTAAATATCGCTCTGTTCCAACGAACATCCACAGTGGTTTTTCGCGCCGCGCGTCATGCGACTCCACTGTGCAGCCATATTTACCTCCGCGGACGGTTAAAGGATTATCAATAGCGCGCTAGGTCTCCACGCTTTAGCGTCCCCCCACTGGCGGTGGAAGTTTGGGTTTTCGGGCACGCCGGCAGCAGGATCACGTGGCGCCTCCCCCCCCCCCCCCATCCAACCAACTGCGCCAATTGCACCCCACGTTAAAATCCAAGCGGTGGTGCCGGACTACCTCTCCACTTCTGCGACACGCGCTATTTCCCTTTCTTTACATGAAGGACTGAAGACGTCAGAATGCACAAAAAATACATCGCTTATTCCTCATCATAATGAAAGCTTGGAGATAAACCGATAAAAATATTCAGTGGAGCCCCAGTGTCATTCCCTTAAATAACGGGTCATGCGAGCATAATGTAGAATTCAAGTGTAGGAATGGACACTGAGCTCGAGAGATGCGGAGCATTTCACGTGTTCATTTCGAAATGAATCCTGCGGCTCGATCTACCCAGAACATTACAGATGGACAGCACCCAAAGACATGTCGTATCATCTGAGCACCATCATACACGGTGTATGATGGGCGCCATGTATTGCATCACGTTACCAGCGGTAACACAACTGGTCACATTGGGTACACCACGGTGGCACTCGTAGTTATTGCTCAAATGAGCGCAGACACGTGCCCATGACACTCACATTGACTCACTCAACACAGAACACTGACACACGACGGCGTATTTCGTTCACAAGCCGCTGCATGACTGTCCCTTCCTCGAATATCGAGATGCCCCGCTCGCTGCACCGCTCAAACCGGTACGGCTGCCTTTTCTGTAGTCAGTCGACTTAAAGCTCAGCCCGTTCCGGCTCCGGACCATTACACCGAATGATCAGCTCTCTGGCCGCGTTATCGTGTTTTAACTGGCGGTGATCTCCAAAAACATCCCTTATTACACTCGCCCTACTTTCTACGATGGACTCCGCAGGACAAATAAGGCAAAGCCTCGTAACCAGCGCGACATAACAACCACTGGATTTGTGCGGGACTCCGCGGACAGTACCTTGTAAAGGCCCCGATTTTCCTCCTGATGGTGGCACTGAACACACACTCCCCCCCCCCCCCCCCCCCGCCGCGATAACGTTCTCCTTTGTGGCGACGGCAGCAGGCGGGATCAGCTGCAGAATTACCAGCTCGTCCACTGCTGACGTCGCGAAGACGACGCTGGTCTCGTGCTTCAGACCTCTCAGCTTGCAGAGATCGCCGACTCGTTCCACGCTGTCCATGGCCCCATTCAGCTTCCGGTTCGAACAACTGAGTTCCCGGCCTTGGGCATTTACGCCACGTCCTCGCG